GAATGTGAAATGTGTGTTTTCGTCCAGGAAAATAAATCCATGACTGCTGCTGTGGAAATTCTGAGGGTTGAATCCCTGATTGCCTGTTGGAAATGAAGAATATGCATATCTCCAAATCCTATTGAAGGGATGCTTTTGCTGGGGAACATCGCTTAAATATCAGTTGTTATCTGGTCGGATCCAGGCTTCACAGTTGCTGAGGATGAAGTAGTTTGGCTGTCATCCGGTCGGATCCGGGCTTTGTGGCAACTTACTGGAAGAGGAGATGAATTAACTGTTATCTGGTCGGATCCAGGCTTTGTAGAAAATTCCTTGAAAATTGAATAGTTGTCTGGTCGAGTCCAGGCTTCACAACAACTTGCTGGGGATGCGGAGGTTAACTGTTATCTGGTCGGATCCAGGCTTCACAGTAACTTACCAGAGGAAAGGATGAATTAACTGTTATCTGGTCGGATCTAGGATTTTGTAGAAAATTCCTTGAAATTGAATAGCCATCTGGTCGGGTCTAAGTTTTATGGTCTTTTGGAAGGTTGTACTATTATCTGGTCGAATCCAGGCTTCATAGTGTCTTTTCGGGAATCATGGTTAATTGTTATCTGGTCGGGCCCAGGTTTCACAATATACTATTTGAAAACTTGTTATCTGGTCGGGTCCAGGCTTTGTAGATTTCTGAGGTTGATGAGGTCAATTGCTATCTGGCCGGGTCCAGGCTTCACAATAAACTAGTTGAAAACTATTATCTGGTCGGGTCCAGGCTTTGCAGATTTCTTTGATGTAGTTAATTGTTATCTGGTCGGGTCCAGACTTCACAATAAACTGGTTAAAAACTGTTATCTGGTCGGGTCCAGGCTTTACAAATTTCTTTGATGAAGTTAATTGTTATCTGTTCGGGTCCAGGCTTCACAATAAACTAGTTGAAAACTGTTATCTGGTCGGGTCCAGGCTTCACAATAAACTGGTTGAAAACTATTATCTGGTCGGGTCCAGGCTTTACAGATTTCTTTGATGAAGTTAATTGTTATCTGCTCGGGTCCAGGCTTCACAATAAACTGGTTGAAAACTGTTATCTGGTCGGGTCCAGGATTTGCATATTTCTTTGATGAAGTCAATTGTTATCTGGTCGGGTCCAGGCTTCACAATGAACTGTTTGGGGATTTAGTTGTTATCTTGTCGGTTTCTAGGCTTCACAACAAATCTCTGAGAGTGATTGCTATCTGGTCGGATCCAGGCTTCACAACAAGTCTCTGAGGATGATTGCTATCTGGTAGGATCCAGGCTTCACAATTGCTTACTTGAAAGGATGGAAATGAGGAATGATATATGGTCGGATCCAGGTTTCTCAGTCCTTTGTTTGGGGATAGAGAGGAAACTCTACTGGGGAAAAGAAATTAAACCTTGGCCAGATTGAGTTTAGGTTCTTCTATATCTTTGAAGAGCTAAGGCTATTATCTGATCGGGTCCAGGTTTCATGGCATTTTGAAAAATGAGATCAACTGGTATCTGGTTGGGTCCAAGCTTCAGTAACTCAAGAAGTCAAACTGTTATCTGGTCGGGTCCAGGCTTCAGTAATTGGAGAAGTCAAACTGTTATCTGGTCGGGTCCAGGCTTCAGTAATTGAAGAAGTCAAACTGTTATCTGGTCGGGTCCAGGCTTCAGTAATAACTTGAAAGTTGTGCTAATATCTGGTCGGATCCAGGCTTCATAGCATTTCTTGTTTGGTGCAAAATGCCCTTAGAGTTAAAAAAAACTTTTAATTCTTTCTTAAAATATTCCCCTCCATTGTATGATCTAATTACCTTAATACATGTGTTAAATTGTGTTACTATCATTTGATGAAAGGAGCGAAGCACGTCATACACATCACTTTTATGTTGTAGCAAATATATCCAGGTTACCCGTGTACAATCATCAACAAAACTAATAAACCATTTTTTCCATTATGTGTAGATTGTGGAGAAGGACCCCAAACATCAGTGTGTACTAAAGATAAAGGAAAGTCTGTTTTCTTATTACTCAAGGGAAAAATAGCACGATGACTTTTTGCTATAACACAAGTTTCACAAAGAAAATCTGAAATATTGCATTTATGAAATAACGATGGAAACAATTTTTTTAGATAACTAAAAGAGGGATGCCCCAATCGTCTATGCCATAGCCAAATATATATTTTTTTGATCTTGTATGTGATCACTTGCAAGATGAACCAATGCTCCTTTATGGATTTGTGAAACTTTTTCAAGATAATACAACCCTTCACTATATCTACCACTGTCAATCTTCTCCTTGGTATGTATATCCTGAAAAACATAGTGGGTTGGATAAAACACAGCGACACATGAATGTGATTTTGTTAATTTACTGACAGAGATAAGATTGCAATTCAAGGTAGGAACAAATAATACATTGGGTATTGATAGGGAGGGTGATAGAGTCATTGTACCAACACCTTCAATGGGAGATTCCACTCCATTGGCAGTAATAATAACAGTTTTATGACAATTAGGAGAGAAATTAGTAAACATGTGTTGATCACAAGTCATATGATCAGTAGCACCTGTATCGATTATCCAATCGCTATTTCTAATAATAACAGAAGGATTATGAGCAGAGTTAGACATATCTGACTTGGTTACGAAGCCGGCAGCAGTAGAAAGATGAGCCTTGTTGTTTTCTGTCTTATTATTCGAAGTAGTTTTTCCCTTTTGATGCCACTCGGGTAGTCATGGAGCTTAAAACATGTCTCCATGACATGATTATCTCCATTACAGTGATTACACTTGCGGATTTCTTTCTTCGGATACTTCTTGACAGCTAAGGCGGAACCATTCGAAGACTCACCGCTTAGCATAACTTCTTGGTGATTCGCCTCTGCACATACAATTACATAGACTGATTGAACATTAGGAAGCGGAGTGGTAGCCAGAACACGACCACGAACTCCATCCAAATGTGAATCGAAACCAGCCAATAAAACATAAACTCGTTGAGAATTAACCATCTTATTGTATTTCTCAACATCTTTAGTGCATTCCATGGTACAATTATTAATACTATCGTACTCTTGCCATAGCCTCTGCAATTTTCCAAAGTATATAATAACAGATCCACCATTTTGTTGAGTAGAGATTACCTCACGATGCAATTGATAAGCTCTTGATGCATCTTGGTCGACGGAGTACGTTTGTTTCGCAGTTTCCCAAATTTCCTTCGCCGTAGCTAAGCGAATGGAAAGAGATCTGATTTCTTTGGTCATGGAGTCAAGAAGCCAATACTTGACCAAGCAATTTTCATCTTCCCATGCTTCATATTCATCGGGTTTATCTTTTGTTGGTGCAGTCTTTGTTCCGGTAACGTAACCCCATCGTTTTCTGCCTCTGATTTTGTTTTGTGCATTCAACGACCATTCGACGTAGTTAGTGCCGTTAAGCCATTCTGGGGTGAGTGCATCGTTGAATTGGACAGCAGCGGAAGTTCCAGAATTCTCCGATTTGTTTTTATCAGAAGCCATCAGAAATTACTAAGAAATAAAAAAAAAAAACACCGTTCCTATATTGAAAGAGAGACAGTGTTGACTCTAGATACCATATAGAACATTTCAAAGTAATAATTCTGATGATTTTATTCATTGATCAAGGTACTATATATACACAAAAGAGTCCCTATAATTCCTCTTCTATTAAGGGAATGAAATAAACTATTTACAGCACAAATATTTTCCTACTTAATTTAGTTAAAATATCTTTGACTTATCTTAACAATTTCTATATAAGAAAATATATGTGTAGATAAATTATCCAATGCAGATTTTATTTTATTCATTATGACACTTAGTAGGATTCCTTTTTCTATTCAATCATTTATCTTTATTAAAAAAGTTACAATATTCTCTTACAAAATGCGAACAAAATGTCAACTAAACCTAAATTTTTCAAGTGCATTTGTGACTTGCATTAATCAAGTATAACATCAACAATTTGTTGGAATAATATAGCAAGTATTAGTAAGTGGGGAATGTGGAGATTTGATAATATATAAGTGAGAGAACCCACTCACCTATCACCTTAAGGTTTTAGATAGATAAGTGGTGTGTCTCTCACAAAGGTAAAATGGTGTCTCGTTGCAAGATGTCAACGGCAGTACAAAGTGAGAGAGAAAACTTACATTTGATGATCAAATTTATATTCAAGGTCAAGACAAAACAACCTTATTTTTTCTACAAATCTCTAAGCATTGGATTTTTTTGCAATTTATTGTTCTCCTTCTTTGAATCTTTTAATCTTCTAACAGTTCTCTTACAAGGGCAACAACATCCTTCATCCGTGAGCAATTTCACTCTAACATAACAAAAGGAACATCTTAAAAAAAAGTTTTCCCATGTTATGACCATTATAAGTTATACAAGAAAGCAATACAAATTATGTCCTTTACTGATGAGAATGAATTAATATTTCCATCAATTACTCAACTGAATACTTTTGTATTTCCCTTTGTTGTCTTTGTCACAGAACTGAATACTTTTTCCATACTTTACTACATATACGCACATATTAATTAATCATAATGTCATACCTGTTTTCTTTATAGGGACCTTTGGTCCCATTGCAACTTACCATCTAAAAGTTGTTAGTAACAAGAACCTTGGACAATGAGAAACTCTCCATGTGCATGGTTTGTGTAGAATGTGTGTGTCATAGACAATAACATTAAAGAAAGAGTTTCATTTATTAAATATGATGAAATCAAAAAGTGAGTAGGATCTATACTGCATCTGCAATATTATAATATACTAGTACTCTCTCCACATGCATCTTTCAACCTTTAATAATCAAATAAAACAAAACACTCTCATCAGCTTAGATACTTCTCTTTTCCTTCCTCTTGATCCCATCTATCAGAAGAGTGATTCTTTTTATGTTTTAAGGTTTCAACTTTTTTGGATTAGAACTAAAGGGTTATGTTATGTTGTGTTTTGTTGTGTTGTGTTGATGTAAGAAAAGAAAATGGAGCATGTTATGCAGCAAGGTCGTTCTCTTGCTGAGACGCCTACATATTCAGTTGCATCTGTTGTTACTGTCATGGTTTTTGTTTGCTTCTTGGTCGAGCGTTCTATATACCGTTTTGGAAAGGTGAATAACACGTTCAAACTCATTCATTTCTCGACTATTTTCTTCTTGTTTTGCTTGCTATTTGGTATGGTAGAATAGATAATGTTGAAAAACGGATTTTTATTTAGTACTGTCTTAGGAATGCTATGTTCAAGAAGCAATATTGTATGATAATGGCATGCTCCTATGCTCTTTATCTACTTGCTGAGGAATTTATTGCATTGTTCTCGGATCTTAGGTTAGTGTTTGATATTAATTGTTAGGTGCCAGCATATATAAATTTTTTGGCCTTTATGTTGGCTAGTTATTTTAAGAAGTTCGAATAAGCTTGAACCGCGAAATGTAACTTGAACCGGTAAAAGCAATTAGTTTCTTAAATCTGATGAAACTTGTTTTTTCTTGGCTGTGCAGTGGTTGAAGAAGACAAGAAGGAAGGCGCTTTTTGCTTCACTCGAGAAAATTAAAGAAGGTAATTAAGCACGATGTTCTTGATAACTCAAAAATGCAGAATGTTCAGTTTTCTATCAGAATTTTTAACTAACTTGTACTGATTCTTGTTGATAGAGCTGATGCTGCTTGGGCTTATCTCGTTGTTGTTGGCACAAAGTGCGAGATGGATCTCTGAAATTTGTGTAAATTCAGCCCTTTTCAGCAGTCGATTTTATACGTGTGCTGAACAAGACATTGGCGTGATTGAGAATGTCGTGATTAAAAACTCTTCCTCTTTCTCTGATGAAACTAGTATTCCAAAGGGGCTAAATAGGGTTGCACTTCATCAATGTGGAGAGGTAACATAACATGCTTCAATTGTAAAAGGCAGGTTGAACAAACTGATATGAAATGCTGTTTCTTTGAAATACTAATCGATGAATGCAGGGTCATGAACCATTTGTTTCATATGAGGGTCTTGAGCAGCTTCACCGGTTTTTATTTGTTCTCGGGATCACTCATGTTCTGTATAGTGTTGTGGCTGTTGGTTTAGCGATGAGCAAGGTCAGTCATCACAATTTTGTTACAACGAAAATGTGTTGATGCTCTTGTAAATACTAATAACTAGATAACTAGTTCAGTTTTTGTTTGTAGATCTATAGTTGGTGCAGATGGGAAAATCAGGCTACAATGGCGATTATCGATGGAAACGTGCCAGGTAAACAACAAATAAGTAGAATGGCGCCGTGTCTTTGGAATATAGTAATGATATTTTGCAAAGTTTTGTTCTGCAGGAAAGAAAAACAAGGTGATGAGGCGGCAAACAACGTTTGTTTTCCATCACACGTCTCATCCGTGGAGCAGGAATCCAATACTAATATGGATGGTGATGTATCATCTTTAAAATTCTTAGAATCAACCTGATACATGTTTAGAATGATGACAATGTGTAATCTGATATTGCAGCTATGTTTTCTGCGTCAGTTTAGAAGTTCTATACAAAAATCAGATTACCTTGCACTCCGTCTGGGTTTCATTACTGTAAGTTTTTTATTTGTTTAGTGTTTCATCCTTGCCGATATGATATGATATTCTATACCACTTTGCAGGAACATAAATTGCCATTATCATATGATTTTCATAAATATATGGTTCGAAGCATGGAAGATGAATTTCACGGCATTCTAGGAATAAGGTATGAACTCTTTTGAAAATCAATGTAAGTTGTCAACTCTATCTATGATCTGAAAATTACCTGTTTCAATTTTGCAGCTGCCCGCTCTGGATTTATACTATCGTCTGCATCTTCGTAAACATCCATGGTAACTTTCATTTTTAGTGATAGAACATGTGTCCATTGAATGAAAGTGTCTTTTGTCGATTTTTTCAGATGATTGAGTTTCTAAATTTGCAGGTCTCAATATATACTTCTGGTTCTCCTTTATACCTGCAATTGTATGTATAATAATCTGTTTTTCATTTGTTCAACAAATCAAATTGAATTAGTCCGTTGAAAATAGTTTCGGTTTAACGTGTGATTTCGCTACGCGTAAAAGCTTGTGATGGTAATAGGTACAAAACTTCAACATGTTGTGTCCACTTTAGCACTTGAAGTCTGGCAGCACCAGGGTCCATCTGCCAGTACACAAGTAAAGCCGCGAGACGCACTTTTTTGGTTCAATAAACCAGATATTTTGTTATGGCTGATACAATTTGTGATATTTCAGGTAAAATATGTAACGTATTTGTACTCGCACCGTTCTTCTTACTTGTTTTATTTTGATTTTTTGTTCTTGTTTTCTCTATTGTTCATGCAGAATGCTTTTGAAATGGCTTCATTCATTTGGACATTGGTAAGATTTAAAATTTTCAAGAATTTATCTATGCTTATATTTGAACTAAATCTTCGATCATTTTTTTTCGTAGTGGGGATTTAAACAACAGTCATGCTTCATGAGACATCATTATATGATCGTCATTCGGTTGACATCTGGGTCGGTTTCATCTCTCTCTCGCTCTCTCGAGAATTACACATTTTATTCTTTACCGACTAATTTTCCAGATTCTACAATACTTCAATGTTCGTATACTCTTACATTTTCTCAATTCTAAACTTTCATTCATTGCAGAATTCTTGTTCAATTCTGGTGTAGCTATATGACAGTACCCCTCAATATAATAGTTTCACAGGTTGGCTCAAACATTCTCAGCAAAAATTTCCGTCATATTTGCAACATTGTTTGAACAGAAATGTGACAGAAATTATTTGTTGCTTATAGATGGGATCGCGGTGTAAGAAGGCGCTAGTGACCGAAAGTGTAAGAGAGTCTTTACACAGTTGGTGTAAGAGAGTAAAACAGAAGTCTAGGCATGATCATTCTCTTCGCTCGCATACAGCCAGATCAATATGTTCCCTAGAATCAACAATCGATGAGAGGGACGAGATAACAGTTGTATCCGGGACGCTAACTCGAACAACTTCCTTAGACTTAGAGTCTTTGAATCAGATGACAGTAACTTCAGTAGACCAGCTGAATTTTATGACTTCTAACAACCTCCATAATTCGCATTACAACGGTGCTGGCGACAGAGACGAGACTAAAGTCGAAACTCTCCTAGATTTGTTTCACAAAACATGATCAATTTTATGTTTCATATATATTTGAAATTCTACTGCATAACAAGCTAGAATCCTATTCAGTTTAGTATAGATGAGCAAATCACTATTGAACACTATGAAGCATAGATGTATATGATATATCACACTACTAGAAGCAATAAACTTGGCTCCAAAATTACCAAGTTTTCTCTATAAAGAAGCATAAAATTGACATGAAAATCAGCTACTTGTGAGACATGAAAATCAGCTACTTGTGAGACATGAAAATCCATACTCAAGACACAAAAACACTAGATGAAAAATATCAAAATTCATATAAGACTCAACCCAAGAAAAGTGGGGAAATGTGAGCAAAAAAACAAGATAAATGACAGAAACATAACATTATTAACTTCACATGTTACTACAAACAGGTGAAGAAATTAATAGAGTTACTACTCATTGTAGAAACAGAAAATGTAAAAATTGAAGAGACAAACATAACATGATAGATATGATAGTAGCAACATGAGAATTGAAAAATTAAGCAGTGAGTTCTTCTTCCTTGTGAGTCTCAATAACAACATCAGACTTAGGATAAGCAACACAAGTAAGGACAAAACCACCTTCAATCTGGTCATCATCAAGGAAAGAACCATCAGATTGATCAACTTCACCACCAACAACTTTACCAGCACATGAAGAACAAGAACCAGCTCTGCATGAGTAAGGGAGATCAATTCCAACTTCTTCAGCATGGTCAAGAATGTAAACATCATCTGGACATTCAAACTCTTGAGTTCCATCTGGCGTAACTAGTTTCACTTTGTAAGAAGCCATGGCAAGTGCAAGATCTCCACGTTTGAGAGTGGTTTTTAAGCCAATGAAAGCATTGGAAAATGCCTTTGTTGTTGTGGATGACATTGGCTTTGGCTGAGTCCTGAGGAAGGAGGTGCTGACGGAAGTTCCATACAAAGCTGGTGTGGTTGCCATTACTACTATGGTTTCAAAACAAACACTGATTTGTGTTTGTGTTGGTGATAATAAGATAGAGAATGAATGAATAAAATAAAGGAGCTTGTGGAAATAGTGTGTATGGAACAAGCTGCTATATGAACTCCATGCAACCCTATCTGCCACGTGGTATTGTTTTGTGCCTCACTTTATCTATCTCTTTTAACACCACAGATTCTTGGTGAATCCTTGTTGGCATCATCTTTACCTTACAATTTTTTTACTCAATAAAACTAGCTAATCAAATATTAAATCATTATTTACCAATGACTACTCTCTATGAAGAAAATGACAATCATCACTTCCGCATAAAACACAGTTAGAAACCCCCGACATAATTACCAAAAACGAACCTCTAAAGGGAGGGAAAAACAAGGCTTTCCAAAAATGATTTTTTTTTTTAAATATAACAAAATATTTGATATTTTTTTTTAAAATAATTTTGTATAGAATTATAAAATAGTGTTTATTATTATTGTATTTTCAATTTTCATAATACTGTAACAACATAAAAGATATTTAGAAAATTTATGTAAATCTCCCAAAATTTTCAAACCAAAATCTTTTTATTTTTTTTACTAAATCTTTCATATTTTTCAAAGTCTTCTCTTCTGTTTTCCTCCAAATTCGCAAACAAAGTCTAAAGAGTCATACATTTCTCTAGATGCATCATTTGTGTGCATTTAAAACAATATTTAGGAAGAACGATCTAGTTAACTTGTGTAATTTTAGAGGCAACTCGAGCATGACAAGTAGTTTAAAAAATTGATAATTTTAAATTCTTAAATACAAGAATGCATATGTTCTTTATAGGACTGTTTTTGGGCTTCAAGAATCAAGATCCATCAGAGAACCGGATCGATAGACCCGATCCATTTGATCGACCGAAACATGGCATGGACAGGGAATGGATAAATTTTTAATCTGATTCCCGAATGAAGATTCAGATCCAATGAGTAACCGAAACCAATAATATAAATTTTGTTTTCATTTCCTCACTTTTTCTCCCGCCTTCAGTCACTTTCCCCATGTCTCTCCTTCCTTCTCCGCCTCCGACGACCTCCTATTCCCTCGCTTTTTCCGGCCAAGCCAAACAATTTAGATTGTTAAGTGTTACTGAGTTTATTTGTTCTTCTTCTTCATATGTGATTCGTGAGTGTTTGAGATAGAGTTAGAGTTAATCGTTCAAGGCTTCTGCTTGATAAACTTGTAATGTATTCAACTTATTCTGTTTTTTATTTTTATTATACTACTATTAATCTTTACCATGTTTGCATGTTTGATTTGATGAATCGTTCTTTACCATGTTTCAATTTCGACCTAATTTTTTTTTACCTAAAATATTGTGTTACATTCTGACCTAATTTTTTTACCTAAAGTGCATGTTATAATTTTGACCTGAATTTTGTGTTTCCCATTTGATTAATAATAATAAAGGGCTAGGGTTTTTTGTTGTTGATTTTTGTTCATAAAAAAGTTCGGATATGTTTTAAATAATTGTTTGTCTTCTATTCTTAATAAAGTAGGGCTTTTGTTGTTGAGTTTTGTTCTTATTTCCTATTACATTATTGTTTGATTGATTGTATTTGCTTCCATGTCTTTTTAAGATTCCTCATTGACTCCAACCATGGATGATCTTATTGATATTAATATGTTGCTTGATGGGATTTGAGGAAGAGGAGACAATGGGTGGAGGTAACTTAGAGATTGGTGAGATGTTTGATTGGAGCTTCCAGTTCAAACTGATAACACTACTCAAAATACCACCACTGAAAATACTACTACTCAAAATAACACTACACAAATTACTACCACTATTGATGAGTCAACCCCTCAAGTTGACTAAGATCAAAGTTCTGAGAGTCAAAGAAATGCCTTTGGTAAATCTCCTTGTCCCAAAAAATATGGTTCATTCTGAAATGGTGCTTATTGAACAATCTGATGGCATTAAGAAGTGGAAGTGCAGATGGTGTGGTAAGCTTTACACTTATGATACGAAGTGGAAAAGTACCTCTAGTGGTAAGAAACATTTAGAAGCTTGTATTCAAAGAAAGTTGAGGTTGAAAGGTAATAATGACAAAAATGTTGCACAGTTTAGGTTAAATATAGGTGATAGTGCTCCTAGTTTGGCAACTTGGACATATAATCATGCTAGGGTTAGAGAAATTGTAGCACATATGATTCTAGGTCATGAATTTTCCTTTTTCTGTTATGGAAGGTGTTATATTTAATGAGTTTCTAAGAGAGATTTATCCATAGCACAAAAAGATTACTAGGCAACGGGTTAAGTTTGATTGTGAGACAAATTATGAGGCTGAGAGAGTTAAGATGAAAAAGTATATGTCTTTGATTAAGGATCAGTCTTACCACTGACATGTGGTGGCCTGGGGAGCAGAGAATAGGTTATATGACTATGACTGGTCATTTCATTGATTCAAGATGGCAGCTTCACAAAAGAGTTTTATCTTTTAAGAATGTGCCACCCCCATTTTCTGTGGAGGTTTTGTGTAGGGAGTTGATTAAGGTGGTGAATGATTGGGGAATAAGGGATAAGTTTATTTCAATTTCAGTAGATAATTCTAGTGCCAATGATAATTGCATTGCTAGATTGAAGAAGGGTTATTCTGGTAGGAGAAATTTACCATTATATGGTAAATTGTTTCGTGTAAGGTGTTGTGCACGCATCTTAAACTTATTGGTGTAGGATGGTCTTGATATGATTAAGGTGACTGTTGATAAGATTGGAAATGGTGTTAAATACTTGCTCAATTCTGAAACTAGATGCAAAGAATTCAAAAACATTGTTGATGAGTTGCAACTTGAAGGCAACATGCAAGTGTTGGATACCAAGACAAGGTGGAACTCAACTTGGTTGATGTTGTCCATCGCATACCATTACAGAGAAGTGTGGCCTAGATATGCTGAGGAAAATGGTGCATTTTTTAGCTTTTTCCTGAGGCAAATGACTGGGAATATGTTCATGATATTTTCAAGTTTTTGGAGGTTTTTGTTGATGTTACATCAATTATAAGTGGCACCTCTTACCCTACTGCTAATCTGTTTTTGGCCGAGCTTTACAGGGTGAAGGTTTGACTTGATAAACCTTCAAGCATCTCAAATAATCCTCAATCGCAAGCGCTTTCTAATGAAATGAAGTTGAAATATGACAAGTATTGGTTAAAGTCTAATACATTTTCTATTGGTGCAATTCTTGATCCAAGGTATGTACATTAGCTAAGTTGACATTGCATTGTACATTAGGTAGCTTGATATATTGCCTTGTGATTCAATTTAGCCTATGTTAATTTCTGTTTGATATGAATGTTATATATCTGAGGCTAACTATATGACCTGCTTGAAATGTTGCCTTGTGGTTCAATTTAGCCTATGATGATTTCTGTTGATATGAATGTTATATATTTGAGGCCAACTCTATATGATCTGCTTGATATGTTGCCTTGTGATTCAATTTAGCCTATGATGATTTATGTTGATATGAATGTTATATATCTGAGGCCAACTATGTATGATCTTCTTGATATGTTACCTTGTGGTTCAATTTTGCCTATGATGATTTCTGTTTAATCTCATGTTGTTCCTTAGTGAAATATGTTGCCATGATCAACTGTGTTTGATAAATTGTGAATTGTGTTGCATTGTGAGTTGTGACTTAATAGTGCCTTTGATTCAATTAAGTTGCCTTGTGATTTGTGATTTAATAGTTCCTATGATGAAAATTATGTTTGATATGATTCATTTGATTATAGCATCTGAGGCCTATTATGTTACCTGCTTGTGAATTTAATTGTGTTTCAGGCCTATTCTGTTATCTCCTTGTGAGTTTTGTGCCTATGATGAAAATTAATTCATAGGCCAAATATGTTTCCTTGTGAATTATTCTGAGGCCAATATTGTTACCTTATACTCTACTCGATCCAATAGGTATAAGATGATATTCATCAAATGGTTATATCTCTTCTTGTATCCAAATCCTACTCAAGCAACTTCCTATGAACAAGAGTTGCCAACCAACTTAAATTCCCTCTTCCAATTGTATCAAGATATCTATGGAACCAATGATGAGATTTCCCCTGTATCTGAAAGTCTAAAAGTAGGATCTAGTTATGGGTTAGGAATGAAGAATTTATAGAGGTTTTTAGAAACTGTTGTGGGTAATAGTAATTCAAAATCTGATCTTAAATTATATGTTGAGGAGTCTCCCTTTAAAGTTCCCCCTAAAGCTAAGTTTGATGTTTTAACATGGTGGATGGGGAATGAAGCCAAGTTTCAAGTTCTTAGTAAATTGAAAAAGGATATCCTAATTGTTCCAGTTACTACTGTTGCTTCAGAAGCAACTTTTAGTGCTGGAAAAAGGGTTATTGACATGAAACGATCATCTATGAAAACTAAGACAGTTAAATGGTACTTTGTGGGAGTGATTGGGTGAATGAGAAGTATGGGATTAGAAAGGGTTGCACTGCTAGTGTTGTAAGTAAATTTTGCATATGTCTTTTTTAACTTAATATGTATATTACTTAATATGGCATCTCACTATACATTTTTCTATTTGTAGCTTGAGGAACCACAAGATGAACCTTTGTTTTATCATTTTGGTGAAGATACGAGTGTCGCTTCGTCGACAACTGCAAGTTGAAGATCTTTATTTACAATGTCAATGATGAGATTGTTCTGAGGCATCATTAAAATATGTAATGATATTTTGTACTTTTTTGAAAATATAAGTTTCATAACTTATGTTTTAACAAGTTTTTTGAGATGGAGTTGTAATATTTATATGATGTCCAATGATACAATGTGAATTAAGAATCAAAATTATGCACAATATAATGTAATGTCCTGCCTAAATATCATCAGAAATTTAAATAATTTAGAAAAAAAATTATGTAAATTAAAAATGTTGAAATTCTGCAATTTAACTTTTTTTCATTATATTTCGGATGGTCCGGTTACCCGACCGA